AATGCATAATCAGACACCAGCTTCTGGCAGTGCTCCTGAGGAATCTTAGCCATTGCTCATGAGCATCGGCCTCTAGTTCAGTAATATTCTTGGGTTTGTGTGCTGCAACAGCCTTCTTTAAATCCCATCAGAGATTTTCTATGGGGTTCAAGTCAGGTGATGGCCACTGTAAAATTTTCCAGGACTTCTTCTGCAACCATGTCTTGGTGGAATGTTAGGTAAACTTGGAATAATTGTCTTGTTAGAAGGTCCATTGACTCCCAAGCTTCAGCTTCCTTACAGATGGCATGGCGTTTCCTCCTAGGATTTCATGATACTTCAATGAATTCATCTTGCTTTCCACACATTGCAGGTTTCCAGTACCAGAGGATACAAATCAACCCTAGAGTATCACCGAGCCACAACCATGCTTAACTGTAGGCAGAGTGTTTTTGTCAGTGTATGCTTCATTCTTTTTCCTCCTGACCGCTGATCTTTTGGTTCTGAAATGTTCCAGTTTTGTTTAATAGTTCCACATAACACAATGCCAAAATGTCTGTGGCTTATTTATATGATTTTGAGATTGTTGGAGCTGAATATTATTGTGATTTTGGGTCAGATGTGGTGTATGTCTTAGCGTTTTGGCATGGAAACCTTCTGCGTTTAGTATGTTCCTTACTGTGCTTACTGAAACCTCAGTGCCTGTTACCACTAAGCCTTGCTGCAGGTCTTTTGAAGTCACTTGAGTGTTTTACAACCTGCCTTCTCTAGTTTGTAGCCATTGATAGCTTCCTTTTTCTGTCCCATTCAGTTAGTGTAATTACTATTCCTTCAACTTTGAACTTGCAAACTATGCTTCCAAAGGTGTTTCTAAGAACATTCAGTGCCTTTGCGTTATTTTTGTATTCTTTTACTTGTTTTTAAAGGGCGATGATCTCTTCTCTTAACTTTGTGGACCATTCTTTTGACTTGGCCATATTTCTAACATGCAGTTAAATGTGACACTCAACAAACACTCAACAAACCCCTAGCCAGTTCAGGCATTTCAGGTGTTCCAGCTCAAGCATAGCTGGTGCTACTAATGAGCCCTTGGTTAGTTGCATCAGGTGTGCTTGAGACAACACTTGTTTTGCATACTTGTGTTGTTGTGAGGGATTCTATTCAGGGTGTTAAATAATTTCAACTAGGGAAAACACTTGAGCATTTGTTGTGTTGAGTTTAATTGCTTTTGTTTGATTTGTTCATTGAAAACAGCTGAAAGTCTGTAAATGTTTTACAATAAACATGTTTATCGATGGGGGTTGAATAATTTGATGACAACTGTACTTACATTATCAGTTTTATTCTCTGTTTTCTATGTAGACACCAACAAACAGCTGGTCAGTTATAAGTTACTTAATAGTTGTCACCTCACTCACATTTTTTATAAGAGTTCAGATTTCTGTTGGAGGTATTGCAAAAAGCCAAATGTGGCGATTTTGAAAAACATTTTTGGGTAAAACAATGAACACTTTCATTTCATCATTTATGGGTACTACTATACCCATTTGTAACATTAGAATAATACATTTGAGGGTATCAAATCCATGGAGAAGATTAAGTGTTCACTGGGCAAAATCTATGAGCTTTACCTTTCAATTCAGTCACCATGTGTATGGTTTCTTAATATTATCCATTCCATTTGATTGCAAAAAAACATTTTTATTTTTGTGACTCTGTTTAAGTTCCCCTCATGTATTTTTGTTTAAATTCTCTTTTTATTGAGGTAAAAGAATATGCTTGTACACTATAATAGTATGAGAGACAGTGGTTCATTTACATGGCAATCACTGAATAGATTAAATCATAAATAAGAACATAATCGTTTTTTGCAGACCCATATTGGATGGGGCGACTCGCCCTCTACCGCAGGTTCATCGATGATATCCTTATTATTTGGAGGGGTGATTGGAATGAAATAGAAGACTTTGTGTCTTACAATAATAGCAATTGTTGGGACCTTTCCTTTACTTACAAGAAACATAGGTCCACTATTGATTTCTTGGACTTAACTCTTACTGGTTCTGAAGGAAGAATCTCCACTAAGACCTATCAAAAAAGTGTGGATGTGAATGGTTATTTACATGCCAAAAGTGGTCACCATCCCACATGGATACAGAATATTCCTTCAGGACAATTTACCAGAATCAGACAAAATTGTTAGTTTGTGTCTGATTATGAGAAGGAGGCCCTTTTGTTATCTCAGCGCTTTCTAGAAAAATCCTACCCCCCGAATAAAGTACTGAATGCCTATTTGAAAGGGCTTAATCACAATGTGACATCTTTGTCCAAGACTCATACTAAGGGTCTTCCTTGTTCAAACTATTCTATTTCAACTGTGCACTTGGAACAGGAGTCCCATACAAAAGAGCATTGTATGATTCTTGAATTATTGTGAAAAAAGCCAAATACAACATCAGCACCAAAGAGGTAGGCTCATGCACAACACCCATATTCTCTACGACATTTAAGGAGGCTTTGATGATATCTTTGAGATTTTCTATAAGTAATGGCCTATTCTGACCCTTGGTTGTCGTTTTGTATTTCAGAGGTCCCTAGGGTCACATTCAGAAGGGCACCTAGCCTGAAGAATATTTTAGCCCCTTCTAAACTACATCATCCTAATGAGAGACATATGACAGTAAATAAGGAGGGTTTAGCTAACAAGCGCTGTGGTCGCACAAAATGCCTTACATGTGGCTATATTTGCCATCATATTTCTTTGTTTAGTCCTTACAATAGCTCTGAAATTTTTTCAGTTCGATCAGCAATTACTTGTAACACCCCCTTTGTGGTGTATCTTCTAACTTGCCAATGTGGGCGGCAATATGTGGGCCAAACAACCAGGCCACTGAAATGTAGGTTTCGTGAACATAGAATAGCCATAATTCGTAATGATACAAGGTCCTTGGTAGCCCGACACGAATAATCCATCTGGTATCAAACTAATGGGGATAGTTCATATTTCCCCTTATCAGGACAGGGCAAAAAGGAAAAGGGAACTAATTAAGGCTGAATCAGTGTGGATATTTAGGCTTAATTCTATGACACCCAATGGTTTAAATGAGGAGCTAGAACTGTTTTAAATGTTTAAATATTGGTTATAGCTTAGCCTATATATTTGTGCCATCTTTCATGTTTATAGTTCCTTTTCTCACCCAGGATATAGTAGTATTATACATTGTATGTTTTACATTTTCTATGTATAAATCTCCTTGCTGTGGTCCAGTTTTCCTTTATTTGTACACATATATATGATACTACCATTGTACTATTCCTTTCCCCCCCTTTTTTCGGTTTATGTCTTATATATATATTCATATAATTCCATCCCAAGAAATGGGGTTTGTTCCTTTAAATAATATCTTATTCCTTTTTTTCATTAATTCTGACACGTTTTCTTGTTCTCTCTTTCGTATTAGTTATTATTTGTTGCCTAACCACAATTTAGTGTTTGCTAAAATGTTTATTGTATAAGTTTTTCAGTTTGATATATTTATAAATGTTCATACTTATGTCTTTGATATTATGTTGATGCTTATTATGAGAAGTATTATGAATTTAGTTTGGGGCTTTTATGTGTTATATCCGATGTTACCCCTGGGGTATTTAAACCAGGATCTACGGTAGCTATTTTGTCTTGAGAAAGTTCTGTGGCAGGGCTGAAACGCGTAGACTCGCTACACCTAATCGCTTGATCTTCTGATCTGTTGTTGCTGGGAGTGCTCTATGAACTACTGAGAGTGAGAGCATTTTAGAGATTGCAGATATTCAATGATTCCTGTCGGGGGTTTGTTATTTCACACTGCGGTCTTTTTTGAAGATACCGACCGCGGTGCAACAGTTTATATTTTATTGACGGATCATTATTAGTTCTCGCTGGGAGTGTGCTTCTATTACATTGCGGTCTTTTTAGAAGATACCGACTGCGGTGCAACAGTTAATTCCCCATTGACGGATCCTATCTGGGTCTGCCGGGGGTCTGCTATTCGTAATTGTTCACCGCTCATTCTATTGATTATATCCTCTCAAGGTTTCTACCATCATTTTTTATTTATACCTCGGTGGGGGCCCACACCGAGGCAAGGTACTTTTTGTATTTATTTATATATTTGTTTTTTATTTTTATTTACATTGTAGACATTTGAACCATCAGATACATTGTTTTATACATTGTGTCCATGGTGGTTTTATTCACCTATTTTTGTATCTATATTTGTTAGGCTGTATTTGCCTTTCTTTGAATTACTCCCTGTCAACCAGCATTAGATCAGTGTGGTTATGTTCTTATTTATGATTTAATTTATTTACACATATATACAAGTTTTATACTAATAAATGTATATTTTTATTTATTTTTTATAGATTTCTTTATGTCATTATATTTAGGAGCACACATACCGTTTTGACCTATGAGCTCACACTCATTCTTAGTCGCTTGTGGATGTATGTAGCTGCCCATATCTTATTTTAATTTATGTTATACATTACACCCTTTTTCATCAGTTTTATAATCACTGAATAGAGACAAACCTCTTTTTTTAACATATCTTTTATTGTTTTTGTTTGCCTTTTGTCACACATGTCAGCACAGGTTTACAGTGGGATGAAAGGTCATAGCCACACTTGGAAATACATTTCCAGTGTAACACAAGTATAACAGTCATAACATGCACATTGTGTTGTTTCTATCCAACATTGTTTGATTTGCTCTTCTGTGGTAAGACATCTAAGAATCATATAGGAAGCGATATGTGGAGCAAACCTCTTTTAAAAAGAAACATAAGCAAACCGAACAGACGTGCAGAACAGTAGCTCTGTACTAATAAGCCTAAAAGACCACAGCTAACCGGGAGAAAAACCTCCGGAACTCTGCCCATCACCCCAATACCACAATGGGAAAGCGGGCCAAGAAGATTAAAGCATCCCTGGCCTCAGGAACATGAAATATCGGGGAATACATGCAGGGAAACCTCCCGCGCATGGCGCCCAAAATGGCGGACCAACATGCTGAGATCTCGTCGTCCGAGGAGGAAGCCTCTCTAGACACACTGGATAAGATCCCCCAAGCTGGCGGCCTGCATATGGAATCCTCAGATGAAGAGAACAACACCCCAGCCACAAAAGGGGATATCAAATCGCTCCTCCACGACATCCGCAAGATGTTCCAAGCGGACCTTGCAATACTGAGGGAAGATATGCTCTCACTCACAAGCCGAATCAAGGCCGCAGAGGAGACAACTACACTTGCCGCAGAGCAGAAGCGGCTAACCGATTCACAAGCCACAATTACACAAAAAATGACGGAATACGAAGACTGCAACTGCAGCAAGAATACCAAGATTAAAGGTATCCCTACCTCGGTGGAGAAGTCGGAACTGCCACAACACATGAGACGTCTGATCCAGCACATACTTCCACACAAGCAGGCCAGAAACATCCTGATAGACAATATCTATAGAATCCGCAGGCAGGGCAGACTGCCTCAACAAATGAACAGCGATGTCATCATACAACTTGTCACACACCTGGACAAAATGGCAATCATGGCAGCGGTCAGGGACTCACTCTCCCTGTCCTTTGAGCAGCACACCCTGACATTTTATAATGACCTCTCATACCCTACTATGCTATGGAGGCAAACCATGCGCCCGGTCACCAGTGTGCTGAGGCAGAGAAAGACACCATACCGCTGAAGCACACCATGCTTCCTCCAGGTCACTGTGGAGGTGACTGTCCATACGCTACACTCACTAGTGGAGGGCCAACTGTTCCTGACCCAGCAAGGCATCACCACACAGACGGAACCAGAGAAGGGCAGCTCGCAGAGACAGTAGTGGGATGTGGACAACATCACCCCGTTCGAACCACGAAGAGGTCCCTGCCCATCCACAGCAGACCCAAGAGACTAAAACCCAGTGACTATTGGCACGGGATATTCACCCAAGTTACACTTCTTCCCTATCCGTGGCTAGATTTACACCCCAGTTGGGGACACCCTCAACAACCTAGTGCTTTAAAGTTTAGCACATTGGAATGTTTAATATGTACAAAAGTATGCAAGACCACGCTAATAGAGCTCACCTCGAGCACTACCTACATGAAGCTCGGACCACCAGCTGGCGGAACACACCCCGGCAAGCCAGCACACATACGTCTCCCAACCAATTTAAAACCCACCACACGCTCACCTACTAACCACTCAACTCCACACGACAGCACTGGTGACCCCCAGCCAAGGCTCAGTAGGGCACCACTGGAGCTGACCCTCCCTCTGACAGCGACACCTGAGCGCCCCTTCCCAGCGAGAACGCTAGTTATTACAAACACACATACGCACATCGCACAACCCAGAGCCATAATAACCAGGCTCTCACCCCGACCAAGGGACCACATTTGCCTCACCACGGGACAACATCCCGAGTCTCTAACCTGGCCCTGTAGAGATATGCTCACGTATAACACACGAGCAACATTTAGCACATGATGAAACACCGCAATTACGCTATTTTGATGATGTAAGGTTGAATATGCATGTTTAGCTACTATATTTTTACCTTTAAAACACCTTTAAAACAAAAAGTGGATAACAAAACTACTGTACCTCTGTATGATATGTGCACATCCACAAATAAAAAAAATAAAAAATAAAAACAAACATAACTGAACATGTGCAGCCAGAAGATACGTTATCAGACACATTATATTGAGATAGCAAGAAGGTACATCACCTATATGATATTAGGCAAGTGGTTTTAACCCCTTAAGGACCAAACTTCTGGAATAAAAGGGAATCATGACATGTCACACATGTCTTGTGTCCCTAAGGGGTTAATGTTGTACAAAGAATAATGAGTAAATGTGTGCTAGGATGGGCGCTTATAAATAATAATGATATGAAGACTACTGATATGTCAGCAACTACAAAATAAATATAGTAACTCTCCTTCCTATAGAAATATATGTGAAAGGAAAGCACACAAAAGTGAAAAATATCAATAAATCACCCCTGATGTGTAATTAGAGCGCTTCAATTGATACAAACGTACCCCTATGGGTTAACACAGTATTCAGTATATAGGCAGTATATCCCAATATACAAATCAAATAGAGATTGACAGCTGTTGCTCTGTTCAATAGTGAGTGGTTTTAATGTTGTGGCTGATCAGTGTATATATCAGTAATACTGACATTAATAATGCGATGCCAATAATAAAGTTCAATTTGGTGTTATATTGCAAAAACAATCTCACATCGATACCTACAAAGAGAGGCTTTTTTGAATTTGCAGTATATAATAATGCTTAAAATATTTTATATGACACATTTTATAAATAAATGCACAGAAAAAAGCACAGTAAATGCACAGTAACAGTAATGTACAGAAAAAAAAGAGCAATGGACATTTACACTAAATGATCCACATGTAGATGCAAGAGTTTGCCTCAAGGGCTTTCAATCTAGTTAATTTATTGATGTCTCTAAATAGACACAGTTTACTGATAACTTCATATATAGTACAGTGCTGAAGAGAAGAATACATTTTGAGGTATAGGACTTCCACAGCAAAATATTACATAGTTACTTAAGGCAGAGGCTATTAAGACATTTTATTGATGTCCAGATCACAGAGAAACAAGCCCTCGGCATTACAGAGGCAGTAAATGGTGTACATAGTGTACTGGTAATGGGTATGATTGTAGACATTTTTAGAGAAATGTGCAATAAAATATTTTGTCCTGAAAGGGGGTAAAGAAATAAAATCATCAATTTATTTTAAGGTATCAAATAATCTCAAATAATCTGTTCAATGGATCTATCTAGCAGGGATTACTTTGCATACTGTTAAAGGGGAACTGTCAGCTATCACTGTCACTTTACACCATTCAATAAAACATTGAAATCACCTGTAACTCGTGTCAACCTTTTTTCATGAGCTGTTTTATTTTTAACTTTATTTTATAGATTTTGAAAATGAAAAAAATAATCCAATTCACAAACAGCAAAGCCAAGACAAACACTGCAAATGAAGAGGAGAAATAAAAACATGTTTAATTTCTCCTTTTCTCTACATGCTTTTGCTATGCAGACTCTCATGTGCAGAGGAAAGAGTTTATAACGGTGATTGACAGGGAGCTAGCATAGAGACACCTAGTTGCAGAATATAGCTGTGTCAACATTTAATTTTATTATTTAAATCTCACAATATCATAATTGCACAGAGTAACAAAACACAAACAAACTATTTATATCTTTAGGTGCAAAACCTCATAAGGCATTCCCTCAAATGACCCTAAAACATATTAAATAAGATAAGGATGCAAACTACCAGGGCGGCCTTATGGGTGTGCGAGCTGTGTGACAGCACAGGGCGCCATGCCTGCAGGGGGCGCCATGCTGCCGACATAGCTTGCACGTGCCCCATAGAGCACCCCTATACTGCAGGTCTGCCCACCCACGTGGAGAACTTCATTTTTCTCCACCCAGGACTAATAAAAAAAAAAAAAAAAACCTAAGAAGGCAGCGCAGGCGGAGCTTCATGAGCAACAGGGGCTTAATTTGGTACAGAGGCAGGTCTGAAAGCACCCGCTGCCATTAACCTCTGTACACTAAGTGGGAAATAGAAAGAAGCCCCTGCTGCTTCAACTACCAGAAACTGCAGTGCTTTCCCTCCTCACATGAGTCCATAATGGCAAGAGGTAAGTGTGTAAGTGTGAGAGACTGCAAGTCACTGTGTGTATGTGAGTGTCTGTAACTGTGTGTAACTGCCTGTAAGTGTGTGTGACTGGATGTTATATTGTAAGTGACTGCCTGCAGCTGTGTGTTTGTATCTTTGTGCCTGTAACTGTGTTTAGGTCTGCCTGTAACTGTGTGTGTGTGACTATGTGTATGTGTGTGTGACTGTCTGCCTGTAACAGTGTGTGTGTGACTGTCTAACTGTGTGTATGTGTGTGACTGCCTGTAACGGTGTGTGTGTGACTGTCTAACTGTGTCTTTATGTATGACTGCCTGTAACGGTCTGTGGGTGACTGTCTTACTGTGTGTGTGACTGCCTGCCTGTAATCAGCGGCGTACATACCAGGGTCGCAGGGGTCGCGGCTGCGACCGGGCCCGGCCAACCAGGGGGCCCGGCCGCCCCTGCGACCCGGTATGTACCCACAGGGCCAGCCTCTTCCCCTGGGGGGCCCAGGAGCCGACCACCCCAGGCCCCCCCGAGGCTGGCCCTGCTGTCACACACACACACCCCTGGGTGGGTGGCCAGTTGGGCAGGCGGGCGCGCGAGGGAGCACTCAGTGCTTCCTCTTCAGCTCCCTCGCGCACCACACTGATGCCGGAGCCGGAAGATGACATCATCTTCCGGCGCCGGCATCCCTACGCTGCGCGCAAGGGAGCTGAAGAGGAAGCACTGAGTGCTCCCTCGTGCGCGCGCCTGCCCAACCGGCCACCCGCCCAGGAGCCCAGCAGCACCACTGGACCCCAGGGAATCCCCCCAAGCACTCCAAAAGGTAAGGAGGCTGGGGGGGGATTACATTTAAAAAAAAAACAAAAAAACGTGTGTGTGAGTGTTAGTGAGTGAGTGTTAGTGAGTGAGTGTTAGTGAGTGAGTGTTAGAGTGAGTGAGTGTTAGAGTGAGTGTGAGTGTGTGAGTGTTAGAGTGAGTGTGAGTGTGTTAGAGTGTGAGTGTTAGAGTGAGTGTTAGTGTTAGAGTGTTAGTGTTAGAGTGTTAGTGTGAGTGTTAGTGTGTGTCTTACTGAGTGTGTGTGTCTTAGTGAGTCTGTTTGATGTCTGTTAGTGAGTGTGTGTTTGTCAATGAGAGTGTATGTTTTGTAAGTGAGTGTGTGAGTGTGTATGTATGTCTGTCGCTGAGTGTGTCTCTGTCAGTAAATGTGTGTGTCTGTTAGCTAGTGTGTATGCGTCTGTAAGTGAGAGTGTGTGTCTTCAGCACTTACCTTTCTCCAGCGCCGGACTCCCTTGGCGCTGGGGATCCCTCAGCCTCTCAGCTCCGAATGCGACCGCGCACACATTCAAACCGCCCATAGGAAAGCATTACTCAATGCTTTCCTATGGACGTTCAGTGTGCTCCTCTAGCGGCTGTCAGTGAGACAGCCACTAGAGGCTGGATTAACCCTCAGTGAAACATAGCAGTTTCTCTGAAACTGCTATGTTTTCAGCTGCAGGGTTAAAAGTAGAGGGACCTGACACCCAGACAACTTCATTGAGCTGATGTGATCTGGGTGTCTGTAGTGGTCCTTTAAAGGACCACTATAGTGCCAGGAAAACATACTCGTTTTCCTGGCACTATAGTGCCCTGAGGGTGCCCCACCCTCAGGGTCCCCCTCCCGCCCGGCTCTGGAAGGGGGAAAGGGGTTAAAACTTACCTTTTTCCAGCGCTGGGCGGGGAGCTCTCCTCCTCCGATCCTCCTTCTCTCCTCCCGTCGGCTGAATGCGCACGCGCGGCAAGAGCTGCGCACGCATTCAGCCGGTCACATAGGAAAGCATTCATAATGCTTTCCTATGGACGCTGGCGTGCTCTCACTGTGAAAATCACAGTGAGAAGCACGCAAGCGCCTCTAGCGGCTGTCAATGAGACAGCCTCTAGAGGAAATAGGGGAAGGCTTAACCCATTCATAAACATAGCAGTTGCTCTGAAACTGCTATGTTTATGAAAAAATGGGTTAACCCTAGCTGGACCTGG